GAGGTTCAGGAATAGAAAAGGAAGAGGCAGCAGAGTATAGTAGAGAGTAAGCCTTGGAGCCAGGAAAACCTGGATTCCAGTCCCACCTCTGTAACATCCTGGTTGTATGGCCTGGGCCAAGTCACTTGGCCAGTCATTGCTCTGACAATTCCCTAACAATGTAAGTTGCAGAAAAGATACCTGCACTGGTAGACGAAATTCCTCACCAAGAGTTTCCTACACCAATGAAGTTACAAGTTTAGTTCCTATCCTATCCTATCCATCCTATCCCATCCAATCCGCACAGGTAGTAAGTCACAAATAGGTTTGTCTCTGTTGATATTTCTTTTCTAAAGTCAGTCTAAGAGAAGTATCTCCCCACCCCATTGCCCCTTCAGGCTTAGGAAAGATCTCTTAAACAGAGTTTGCCTCATGCTTGTTTGTGCTTTTTTTTTTTTAAATTAAGGAAATTTTAAAATGTAACTTGACCAGAACAAAACATAGCAACAATTTTTTAAACAGTTATACCAAACTGTATCTTCACAGAAAGTGAAGTCTTTTTGCTTTAGAAGAAAGTAGAGCATGGCACTGAAGTAGCTTTAGGCAGTCTGCAACATTTAAATAGTAGAAACAATGTTATCCCTAGGCCATCCCTACCTAGTGTTTGTGGCAGACAGATGCCATCAGCCTCCATAAAAGAGGCAGTAAAGGAGGTAGAAATAGGAAGAACATGAAACTGTATAATGGTGGACAGAGTCAATGCAAATTTTATAACCCAAATAGAATTATTATAGAACTAATAATTTTTTAAAAACTATTTTGTGTGGAAGCTTTAGTTATGTATAATCATTTTCTCTTACTGTTTTTCAACAGGTCTCCAAAAAGTCCCACTGGGCTATTATATCCAATAATTGGAACAGACTCGAGTTAATAGTAAAGTGTATTAACAATTTCCTCAATTTATAGAATGGCTGTATAACAGTATGTAGTCTAGCATGAGACACAATTCAGGCCTAGTTTTGCCATTTTACTTTTTTTTGTCTCTTTTTCCTTGATCTCCCCCATTTATTACTAGCAACTCGATTGAATAAACTCCAAAATAAGTGGTCAAAAGTAGACACAGTTACCAAAAGACTGTCATTTCTTTAGGTTGTTACGCCCTCTACTGGGATAAAAACGAGTTAAAATTTTAGGATAGGAACATTATAGAAAATAGAAAGATAGAAAATAATGCCAGAGCAACAAAGAATATAGTTAAGTGGCCAAAAAGCTACAAAATATCATTAACATAGCTATTTCCTTTAAGTCAGGAGATTGCCCACAGACAAGTCCAGATAGTGTTGTCCAGAAAGCCCAGGCTTACTTAGAAGTGGGAACAGCTAACAGAGCGATTCAGATGTACTTGGTCAGATTAATGACTAGCATCCACAAGTCTGAGTGTCCATGGAGCAGAAGATGCGACAAAATAAAGTACTTAAATGCATCAAAGTTTCTTCTCTGACTTTTGATCCTAGAAAGCCATATCTGAAAGAGGGTTAGGACACAACCATATTTCTTTGCTTATTTAGTTGGAGAAACAATGTGTCATGTTGGATAGAGTCCTGGACTTGGAGCCTAGAGGGTAGCAACTTCCTAGCTGTCATCTTGGAGAAGTAACTTGACCTCTTTGAGACTAAGGCAACCCTCTATTACAGAGTTTCTTAACCTTTTTTGTGTCATGGAGCCCTCTGGCTGTCTGGTGGATCTCTTCTCAAAATGATGTTTTCAAATGTTTAAAATAAAATGCATAGGATGACAAAGGAAGCCAAAGGTTTGTGAAAATGTATTTTTTTTTTCTCATTCAAGTTCATGGACTCCCTGAAATCTATAAAAAGGAGCTCATGGGCTCCAGGTTAAGAACTCACACTTTATGACAATACAATTTAGACTGGAAGACATATTTTGTTAGAAAACATGCAGACATATAGACCAGTAAGTTAGTCTAAGAAGAGTGTATTTTACTGAAAGGTCTGGAATTTTCTGAGCATATAATGTCAAGGACTTGAAAAAAAACCAGATTGTCCTATAGAAAAGTCAGTAGGTAACTAAGAATGTTAATGAACATGGAAAATGTAGCTCATAATAAATACCAGCCTGGGTGATCCCTAAAGGTTTATGGAGCCTAGGGAAAATCATAGTGTATGGCAAAACCACCAGCATGTTAATACAAATGGAAACTCCTTCTACCAATGCAAGTCAGCACCTTCTCTGCAATTGATAATCTTAGAGAGTTTTTAGATCCCTGAGAGAGCATGTGACTTGCCCAGGTTCAAACAGCCAATATGTGTCAGAGGTGGGGCTTGAATTCATGTCTTCCTAGTTATGAAACTCTCTCTCTCTCTCTCTCTCTCTCTCTCTCTCTCTCTCTCTCTCTCACCACTATTCCATGCTTCCTCTTTAATAAAATCAATTTAAAATGAGCAGTTGATATACTCTTAAAAAGGAAAATAAATCACAACATTATAGCCCTGTCGAGGAGACAGGGAAGGAGAATTGGTTTAGGAAATGTTGTTCTCCTTTGCCTTGAAAGTCTGTGGGGGCATTGTAGAGAAAGTCTGGGGGACTCAGAAGTACAGCCTGGAAAGGAATGAAGACATGGCTGGCCTGGACCTCCTCCTTAAAACAAGATTCTGAGAGGAATCAGACATCATGGGGAGAGACCCAAGGGGAGAGGGGGATACTTCCAAGGTGAAGAAATTTATTGGTCATTGTAGAGAAAATCCTGGAGAGTCAGGAGTATAGCCTGAAGGACTTAACCCTTTCACCCCATTTCCCCTATTATTCCCTACCTGCCTCTACCCTCCTGATTAGTAGTTGTTTTGCTTCATTTATTACATTTTGGTCCTGGGCCAACTCTGCTTTTCTTTGATCCCCACACAGCTTTGGGCAAGTACCATCTGCCCATCCTGCCCCTTTCCAGTTCTTGATCCATACTAAAATTAATACTGCCATGGCTCCTGGAAAGAGTATGTCATTCTCCTCTCCTATGATTATACTTACCATCTTTGTAACTCTCAGAACCAGAATACTCCTCCCTGGCCACAATTCCTCTATATAAGTTCTCTCTCCTTTTTACAATGTAAGCTGCTTGAAGGCAGAGACTATCTTCCCTTTTACATCTGTATTTCCATGTGCATGATACATAGTAAGTGCCTAATATGTGCTTTTCATTCATTCATTCATTCATTCATTCATTCATTCATTCATGGGTTGATTTTATGTTTATGGGTTTCAAGGCATCATGAGCACAACTGGCCAGGCCTGTATCTAGCAATTTTGACCAATTCACTCTAATCTATGAAGACAAGGGTACTAGAATCTTTAATCTTCCAAGTCTTACTATTCTTGGAGCAATGAGAGATGTAAAAGCTGCTGAAAAATTTGCATACCTACAGAACATTTGGTGTTTGCATTGAATGTTATCATGCATAAACATATACATACATGTGAGTGCGTTTGTATGTTTATGTCCATTTTCATTTCTCCCATGTAAATGCAAGTTATTGAGGTCAGGAACAGTTTAATTTTTATCACCCCAAAATTGCTTTTCACATTTTACAAGCAAGATTGAGATTATCCTTTGGCCATATTCATTATCCATACTGGTGGGAGGAAAGCTTTAAAGCAACCCGTTAATGTTTGAGCCCATAAGTATTGGAAGTGATAAGCAGAGAGAATGTGCCCCAGTTCTGAAGGATATATTTTTACCTCTATTCTTGCTATGCCTTCTCAGTAAGTATCCTTTGACAAAGTTAATTGAACCTCATTGCTTATCGGAGATACCCCTTTTCAAACAGAAAATTATACTCAAGTCATAATTGCTGGAATTGATATTGGGAGTGGGGACACATCAGAATGGGCACTAGAGCTGATAGTCTTAAGAACCCACAGACCTTTAGCAGCACCTCTGGAGCACTGAGAAGAGATAAAACAACAGCCTTGTTCCAGGGGCCCAGCCTACCTGTGGAATTGGGGTTGGGTGACTGAGTTCAAAACTGGTTGAAAGAGCCCCCTGTGCACGCTTTGAAGCCTGGGCACCTATTGGCCAGTCTGCCAGTACATTAAAAACAGCTTAATGACTTTAATGAAGAACTTATACGTGGAGTAGGGTAGTAACTATGACACTCAGCTTAGAGTTAGAAAGACCTTGATTCAAGTCCTGCCTTCCACATAGTAGCTGTGTGATCTTGAGTAAGTCACTTCTCTGAACCTCAAGGGTCAAATGAGGGAGGTTAAACTGGATATGCTCTAAGGATTTCTTTAGCTCTAAATCTATGATCCTATGAAATTCAGTGTGTGAACACAAAAGAAATTTCCACAAGTAACTTCTGGAGTAACTAATAGCAGTAATGAATATTAGTATCTGAAATCACATAGAGTTCTGCAAACTGCAGATTGTAAACAAGAACTTGATGCCTGCCTCCATGGGAAATAGGAACAAAACTTAGATTAAATAAAATGAATGAGCAAATTTAAATAGTGTCACTTAAAAGAAAAGTTATCATAGAACCAAAAAAAAAATGACCTTGAACAAAAATCAATCAGACTGATTTTGAATACATTTTAATCACAGAATATTACATATTTTGGAAGCATATACTATGAGGGTTTCTACTTTGTATATTTTCTTCTCTCTCTCTCTTTCTCTCTCTCTCTTTCACACATACACTCTCTCTCTCATCTGGATAGTGTGTGATCTTTATTTTTTTTACATTCACGTTTAATTTTATTTTCTTTCTCAATTACATGTAAACAAAAAAAAATTAACATTTTTCAAAATTTTGAGTTCCAAATTCTCTCGCTCTCTCCCTTCCTCTCTTCCTCCGTGAGAAGGTAAGCACTTTGATATAGATTATACATGTACAGTCATGCAAAACATTTCCATATTAGCCATGTTGCAAAAGAAAATACAGACCAAAACAAAAAGAATAATAAAGAAAGTTTAAAAATATATTTTCAATCTGCATTCAGATTCCATCAGTTCCTTCTTTGGAGGTACATAGCATTTTTCCTCATAAGACTTTCAGAATTGTCTTAGATCATTGTATTTCTAAGAACATATGTTCATCTTCTTCAATTGAGGTTAAGTGACTTGCCCAGGGTCACACAGCCAGTAAGTGTCTGAGGCTGGATTTGAAGTCAGGTCCTCCTGACTCCAGGTATATATTTTCTTCTCAAAGAAAGTTAATACTATTTAGAGTTTCTTCAGAAACCTACAGCTTCCCTGATGAATTTTTTCCATATTTAATCTATATGACTTTCTTATCCCTGGTTTATAGGAGTGGAAAGTCATCATGTAGTATAGGGGGAAAAACTAATGAATCTGGAATCAAAAGACCCAAGTTCAAGCCCCAATTCTGCCACTAACCAGCTGTATGACTGGGAGCAAATGACTTTACCTCTCCTTGTCTGAGTTTCTTCATCTATATAATGGATGCAAAACCTGTCCTGCTTACCCCACCCACATGGTAGTTGTGAAATCATTTATGTATTTTGTAAACCATAAAGTGCTGCATAAATGGCAGCTGTTGGTTACACAGTGATAAAGATGATTGTTTATGGCCCCAGTATAAATAACAGATTAGAACCCAGTATTTGTGTTTAGTGTTGAAACCACATGCTTCCCCACAACTGAAGGCAATAACAGGAAAGCAAATATTGTATATGGCAATCCGACCTCATTAAGACTTTAGTGGCAATCTTTTACAGTATTGTTAGATAAAATGGGCTAAATTCTAATGGACAAGAACAGACTTACATACATTTCTAAGAGCTAAATGATTAAAATCAAAGGCTTTTCCAAATGCCAATAAATCCATTCAGGTGCAAAAGATCTAGGAAAACAGCAGAGTTCTGTTTGAAGGGTAAATTATAGTGCTAAGGACCAAATTGATTATCTGTGATGTTAAAAAAAAACTTGAACAAATATGATAATGTTCCATGTTGATGGGACCATAGGAGAGAAAAACATAAAGACTTCTTCATGATATTTAAAATAACACATTTTAAGTATTGGCCATATTTTCCTTTTCTCCACTCAAACTTCAAGTGCTTTTTTGCTATTTATTACCTATGTGACCTTGGCAAGTCAATTACCCTTCCTAGGCCTGAGCTCCCTCTTCAATAAAATAAACGGTTTGGATTAGATGGTTTCAGAGTTCTCTTCCAGAATTAAATCCTATGTAGTATGTTCATGAACGGGGAATTAGGATATTTGAGTATGGTATGATTCAACTAAATGACATTTTAAGTGTCTATTACATGTTAGACACTGGGAATAAAAAGATTTTTTTTAAAAAAAGAATGACATAGTCCCTCCCTTTATGAAGCTTACATTTTGCTGAGGGTATAGAACACATTCCCAGGTAAACATAGCACATAGGATAGGGAGTGATGGGAGAAATCCAGACAAAGTGCTTTGTTTGAAGACAGCAGGAGCACTGTAGGTAATTCGGTATGTAAACTTTCAAGATAATAATGTCTGAACATTCATTGGCCAAAAACACTTTAAAACACATGTTAAATAAGGTGCAGTCATCATAGACATGTATGACCTGACATTATCTCTACAAAATACTTTTCTCAAATACCAGTCTTGGAAGCAATCCATGGACGATAGGAAGTCACCCGAGTGTAGACACCTGGCTTATTCTTTTTGCCACAGTCATCTCCCCAGCTCACTATTCCGACAAGGAACCAGATATTTCGAGAATTAGGGTGAACCAGTGGTCCACCAGAGTCACCCTAAATACAAGAAGATACATTTATCATTATAACAATTTACTTCTCTAAACTTCCCATGACGTAAAGCCCCCTGAGGGCCCCTGAACCAATTCAGGCTTCCTGAACCCCTTAGGACTTGTGATATTTGGTGGCAAGGCCAGTCTTCTTCCTCCTCACTCCTCACCTAATCTGTTGCTGACTGAAATAACTGGATTAAGCAATGAAGAGTTTGGAATGGGAAAGTGGGAAGGTAGAGTAGGACTAAGCATTATTTGTAAACCTCTTGGGTTGATTCTTTGCTGACTTAGAGACTGCTATTTAAATATAATGGATGGGGCAGCTAAGTGGCACAGTGGATAGAGCACTCGCCCTGGAGTCAGGAGGACTTGAGTTCAAATCCAGCCTCAGACACATAATACTCACTAGCTGTGTGACTCTGGGCAAGTCACTTAACCCCAATTACCTCACCAAAAAAGCAAAACAAAACAAAAACAAATAAGTATAATGGGAGCAGCTAGGTGCCATGGTGGATAGAGTGCCTAGCCTGGAGTCGGGGAGATCTGAGTTCAAATTTGACCTCAGACACTTAAGAGCTATGTAATCTGGGGCAAGTCATGTAACCCCTACTCATTTGCCTCAGCTCCTAATCTATAAGATGGGAACACCCTGGAGAAGGAAATGGCAAACTACTCCAGTATCTTTACCAAATAAACCAAAACAAACCTATGGACAAGTCCATGGGATCACAAAGAGTTGGACACAACTGAATGACTGAACAACAACAATTTAAATATAAGAGAAATAATGATGGCATAAGGATAGAAGACCAGCCTTGGAGTCATAAAGACCTGCTTTCAAATCCTGACCACATACAAATCACTTAACCTCTTGGAACTACTGGCAATTTTCTGAGATTATGATTTATAGACTTAGTGATGTGTGGAGGGAGAAGATAGATAGATACATAGAGATATTTAGATATCTCTATCTATCTATCCATCTGTCTATCTATAATCACAGGTCCAGCTGCCCCAAACTTACCTCATACTGCACAAAAGTAGTAGTAGTAGTAATCTTAGTAATGGTGGTGGTGGTGGTAGCAGTAGTAGTAGTAGAAATAGTCACAGTCATAGTAGTAGTAATAACTAACATTTATATAGTATTTTTAAGTTTTGCAAAATACTTTACAAATATTATCTCACTTGACCCTCACAATAACCATGGGAAGAACATGCTATTATTATCGTCATTTTATAGGTAAGAATACTGAGTTTCCTTATCTGTAGGTTAAACTTAAGGAGTTAAGTGACTTGCCAGGGTTATACAGATATTAACAGTCCCAGGATACATTTGCACTCATCTTCCTGACTACAAGACCTTCACTCTATCCACTGTAACATAGACTCCCCTCAGTAAATATAAACATATATGGAAATATAAATTCATTTAGATTAAAATGACATTTTTGCTAATGATTCCCATATGTATCCAAATGAAATTCTTTATGGAAAATGCCTTTGCACTATTTCTTTTGTTGGTATGGACTTACCTGACAGGCATCGATGTGTCCTTCTATGTAACCTGCACATACCATTGTGTCAAGTACAAGACCATCATAGGAATCTTTACTATTGCAAATCTCTGTGTCAATAATTTTCACTGGTGCTTTTTGAAGTGATTTTGGAAATGGACCTAAAATAAATTAAAATTAGCAAATGAGCTTCCTTGAAGAATAGCCCTGTTAGCTGGGGGAAAAACAAAACAAAACAAAAAAAAAAACCAGAAAACAACCCTATTTGATCATTGACTACCATTACAATGGCATAAGTCTCTCAAGTCCCACTTTCAGAGGTCACCATTCAGGAACTTTGAGCTATAGTGGAATGTACCCTAGATCAGGAGAGAAGAAGCCCAGGTTCAAGTCCTAGCTCTGTCATTAATTAGCTCTGGAAGTCATTTCACCTCTCTGAACCTCAGTTTCCTTATCTGTAAAATGAGAAAATTAAAATAGAATAATGTCTAAGGTCCTTTCCAGTCCTAATAGTGTAGCATTTAGGACTTCAGATCTAGGGAGAGACTTCTAGGAATAAAGTCTGAATTATTTTGATTTCCTGAATATTCCTCACATCATGGAGGTGGAGGAGAGAAATGAACTGTTCAATTCAACTCAGTCAATATTTATTGTGTCTAGTATATGCAAGACACTATGATAAGCTATAGATACAAAGACAAAGGTGATATGGTCCCTTCAATCAAGGAACATAGAGTGCTAGAAGAAGTGAGAAAGTGGGGGGAGGGGAGAGAATAGGTGACCATTGTAGGGGTGTGTGTATGAGTGTGTGTGATGGAGGGAAGGAAAGGGGAGAGAAGAAAGACACACACAGAGACAGAGACACAAACAGAGGGCATAATGAATAATTGGTGAATGGGGGGGGGGGGAATCTAACTAGACCCAAGCCTGCCTCAATCAGAGACTCTAGACCAGTAGTGCCAAGTTCTAGATTGTTGACCTGGAAGGTTTCAGGACCATCTGGATCCTTTAGGGACAAAATTGTCTGTATCTGTCATCTAGAAATGTTCTGGGATTGTCCTTCCCTGGGGATTAAGGCATAGTAGAAAACTTTGGTTCTTTCACATAGCATTGCCCCCAGAGGTTTTCCCTGTCAGCTCATAAGTGTCTTGAGAACAGGGGCTGTGTTGCTTCTTATCTTTGTATCCCTAAAACCTAGGAGAGTGTGTTGAACATATGAAAAATGTAAATGTTTGTTAAACTCAATTGAATTGAATTATATCCCATATATGAAAATAGAAATTATTATTGGCACATATACCATCCTTTGCAAGTGCTCCCCATCCTGTCACAACAACATCAGACCCCGGCAAAAAGTTCTGGGTAGCTTCTGGAAGACAAACTCGGTGCACATTGTTTGTAAAAGAGACTGGTTCAGCAAGGAGCACAACCGCTATGTCATCATGGTGGGCTCTTGGGTTGTAGTTTTCATGAACAATATAGTCTCTTATTTTGTTTTTCATGTAGGCAGGGTTTACCACAGTCCCAAAGCTGACGGTCCAGTCTGATATATTTTTGTGCCTAAAGAAACAAAAATGGTGTCTTTGGTATTTGGTTCATAGGATGCAAGTGTTTTAAGGTTCCATTAGTACACAATAGTACTGATTTTGTATAGAAACCAACCACCAATTTCAAAGCACTTTGCCTTTTAGACATTTCAGATGGTAGAAGAGAGGACCATACATAAAGTGCATCACAAACTTTAAAGTGTTATCTAAGTGTTACTCATCATCATAATCATCATCATCATCATCACCATCATCATCATTATAAGTTAGCCCCAGGCACTGATAAGGATTAGAGCATTTGGGAACTTGGGAAGATCATTAAATCCAGCCAACTCATTATACATATGAGGGAACTGAGACCCAAAGACTTCTCTTATATCACATAGCAAAACCAGATTAGAATCCATATGTCCTGATTAGTATCCCAGATAACTTTCCTTTTGTATCACAGCTTCTGTAGGAAACCATATTGAAGGTTTTCTATGGGAATATAACTAATCTTACCACAAAGGAGAGTTTTGTTAGACTTTTCCTTCATGTTCTATGGTCACAAATTAACAAATTAAAATGTCTCCATTACTCAACACTTTTGTCTAGTTACTATGAATTTCACTTATCCCCTGTCATCTTTATACATTTAACTTTAGTCTTAGGAATTGCCAGAGTTGGGTTGGCGGGAGGAAGAAAGGCTGCAAGCATTTATATAGTGCCTTATGTGTGCCAGGCACTGTGCCTGGTGTATTACAAATATCATCTCACTTGATCCTCACAGCAACAGTATGAGATGGGGCTCTTATTCACATTTTACAATTGAGGAAACTGAAGTAGACAGGACCAAGTGACTTCCCTAGGGTCACATAGCTAGTACACATAGTCATTTTTTTTTGGGGGGGTGACTAGGTGATGGGATTAATTGACTTGCTCAGGGTCACATGGCTAGTAAGTGTCAAGTGTCTGAGGCCAGATTTGAACTCAAGTCCTCCTGACTCCAGGGCCACTGCTCTATCCACTGTGCCACCTAGCTGCCCCCAATCTGTAGCCATTCTTATGCCTCAGGGAGGCATAAGGTGTTTCTCCACACCCAGAACTTTCAACCTATCACACTTACTCTTGCTTTTTAAATGCTATTTTATTTTTCCCCAATTACATGTAAAAACAATTTTTAACATTCATTGTGTTTTTTTTAAGTTTTAAGTTCCAAATGCTACCTTCTCTCTCTCCCCTCCCCCCTACCTGAGATGGTAAGCAATTTCATATGTTATACTTATGTAATTATGTAAAATATTTCCATATTAATCATTTTGTGCAAGGAAACCCAAGAAAGAAAAAAAGAAAGAAAGAAAGAAAGAAAGAAAAAAGAAAGGAAGAAAGAAAGGAAGGAAGGAAGAGAGGAAAGAAGGAAGGAAGGGAAGAAAGGAAGGAAGGGAAGAAAGGAAGAAAGAAAGGGAAAAATAGTATGTTCTGTCTGTATTCAAGTGACAGCAATTCTTTCTCTGGATGTGGATATCGCTTTTCATCATGAGTCCTTTGGGATTATCTTGGATCATTATATTGCTGAGAATAGCTAGGTCATTCACAGTTGTACATCATACAATATTGCCATTTACTGTATATGGTGTTTTCCTGCTTCATCACACTTTACTTTGTATCAGTTCATATGAATTTTTCCAAGTTTTTCAGAAATCATCCTGCTTGTCATTTCGTATAGCACAATAATATTCCATTACAATCATATACAACAACTTGTTCAGCCACTCCCCAATTGATGGTCATTCCCTCAATTTCTAATTCTTAGCCACCACAAAAAGAGATGCTATAAATATTTTTGTACAAATAGGTTCTTTTCCCTTTTTTTAAAAAAAAAAATCCCTTTGGTATAAGGACCTAGTAGAAGTATTACTGGATCAGAAAATATGCAGGTTTTTTTAGCCCTTTGGGCAGGGTTTCAAATAGTTCTCCAGAATATTTGGATCAGTTCACAGCTCCACCAACAGTGTATTAGTGTCTCAGTTTTCCCACATTCTCTCCAACATTTATCATTTTTCTTTTTTGTCATATTAGCCAATCTGATGAATGTGAGATGTTACCTCAGAGTTGTTTTAATTTGTGTTTCTTTAATGAATAGTGATCTAGAGCATTTTTTCATATGACTTCAAATAGCTTTGATTCCTCTGCCTGAAAACTGTCTATTCATATCCTTTGATCATTTATCAATTGGGGAATGACTTATATTCTTATAAATTTGATTCAGTTATGTATATATTTAAGAAATGAGTCCTTTTCAGAGACTTGCTGTAAAAAAAAACTTTTCCCAGTTCTCTACTTTCTTTCCAATCTTGGCTTCATTGGTTTTGTTTGTTCAAAAGCTTTTTAATTTTATATAATCAAAATTATTCATTCTACATTTTGTAATGCTCTCTATATCTTGTGTGGTTCTATATTCTTCCCTTATCTATGGATCTGACAGGTAATCTATTCCATGCTCTCCTAATTTGCCTATGGTGTCACCCTTTATGTCAAAATCATGTACACATTTTGACCTTATCTTGATATATGTCACTCACTCTTTAAAGCAATGAGCTGCAGTCACCAGCCATCTGTTGCTAATCAGAGATGCTCCACAATAATGTCGGCCCCTGACCTTCAGGCTAGCTTGCCATGGCCATTCCCCTTCCTGAGCAGCAGATCCTCCTTTAATTCTGTCATACGCAGAGGATGTTTTTGCCCTCCTCCCACAGCCTGTCAGAAAGAAATAATCAATTGCTTTCATTAAAAACAGGAATATTCAAGTTTCTTTAATTTTTCTACAGAGCCACAGCTGAAATGATTTACATTCTCTTATGAGGTTTTAGGAAATAGATGCACTCTTTTCACTAGGGCCTTTTGTATTTCACTCTTTACTCAATAGTTCCAAAAACCTATTATGTGTTATTGTTGTTGTTGTTATTCTAAATTTTCGCAACTTACAGTTATTAACTGTCCTTTCAGCATGGACTTTACTGGTTTCTGAAATAAAAACAAATATAGGATAAGTTTAGAGTGGGGCATGTATTTCTTTTGACTTCAGTTTCTTTAAGTCATGATGTCCATGACATGGGGCATATGAAAGTCAGAGGTCACCTAGATGGAACAGGATTTCAAGGTATATTGAAAGAAAGCATCAGTTCAGAAGAATAAGGATTCTTTGAGATGACAGGGATTTGGGTTTTTGTCATTGGTCCACAAACTACATAGTGTATACATTTTGTGCCTTCATATAGGCTGTCCCCAATGATTGGAAGACATTGCCTACTTTTGTAGACCTCTTAGAATCTTTAGCTTCCTTCAAGGCTCATCTCAGGTGTCACCTCCTTCTAAAAGCCTTTCCTGTTCCCCTTAGATGTTAATGTACTTTCCCTCTTCAAATTGTGTTTTTTCTTTATCTATCTCTGTAAATGTTGTGTCCCTAAGCAGAATGTAAGCTCCTTGAGAACAGAGAAGATTTTATTTCTTTGCTTTGGGTTTGATCCCAAGACAAGTACGCAGTGCCTTACACATGGTAGATGCTTCTCAATGCTTGTTGAATCAAACTCAATCAGATTGAGCCTAGCCTAGAACTGTCCCTCAAAGTGAATGTGCAATGTGAAGAAATCTAGAGTTCATGTTTTCATTTAGATTTATTATGTAAATGATCAAAAGTGGAGCCTTGTTCCTAGATTTCCTTCATGCTGCTACTACTACTACTACTATTACTACTACTACTACTACTACTACTACTACTACTACTAAACTACTACTACTACTACTACTGCTACTGCTACTGCATTTTACATTTTCCATTTTACAGATGATAAAATTGAAGCTGAAGGAGATTAAGTGACTTGCCCAGGTGACTCATTTGATGCAGGATTTGAACTTATGTCTTCCTGACTCCAAGTCCAGTGCTCTAGCCATTTAGTCAACACTATTCTATCTAGCTACTCAAGTAAGCCATGAGAATGCATGCCTGAAACTTCCAGCCATCCCTGCCAAATTACAGAAAGGGCTAAAAGGACCTTCTATCTGTTCTAAATTGACTGACAATAGTGTATACAGGCATATTAGCCAAGTGTAAAAAAGGCACCTGACTGTGTAAATTTTCCAAGTAGGGAAAGGATACATATAGTATATGAATAAAGAAATGACCCAGCATCAATGATCATTCATTTATTTATTTATTTAACAAATATTTATTGGGCATCTATAATGCACAAAGCAATGTGCTAGGAAGTGATGTGGGATATGTTAGGTATTATCTCACATAGTACTGAGGTCAATACCCCCTTTAGAGGAATGTCATGGGGTGGAGGAGGGTCATCCAGGTCCCGTGGGGGATTTTAGTGATTCATCCTAATTTTGGTTGTACAATGACAGAGCAGCAACCCTATTTTTATTGCCAAGCTAAGGGTTGGAATAATGATGGCTGGAATCCTAACTATAAAATGAAGCACAGATAGAATGGCAGTTACATGAATGAATAACAGATAAGACACTTGCCTGTAAGCTTAAGGGAAGAGGGATCTGAAGTTAAGGATGCAGAGTTATTCCTCAGCATGTGATCTAAGATACTTCCAATTTTTCTTCTCATATCTGCTTTTCTTCCTGGGGAAGACTTAAACATGAGCCAAATATCTATTGTCACACCATCAGAGCTTGGGCTGGAAAAAGTACAAATTGTTCATTATGTTGGAAAAGGCAGTTTTACCCTGCATGCTCTCTGCTCTGATACTGCTTGATTGGCTCAGAAAATGTTTCTGGATGTAGGCAATTTTAGCTCAAAATAAAGACAAAGTTCCAACAATTAGCACTATCTGAAAATGGAATAGGATGCCTCAGGAGGTAGTACAATCAATTTACCATCATTTAAGATGTTTTTAAGCTGAGTCTGGAAGACAGATTTTTGTGGGCTTAACATCTGTAATACCACAAATAGGATGTGAGATTTGGGTAGTGATTGAACCAAATGACCTTTGAAATTCCTTCTAAGCTAAGATTCAATCCCCCATATCTATGAGATGTTTATACAGTGACATTATGGATATACATATGTACTTACATACATATGTGTATATGTATATATATATATATACACATACATATATTATATATATATATATCCATTAGTCAAGACACAAGGTCACAGCATAGCCTTGTAGCATATAGAATGTAAATCCTATAAAATATGAGCTGGTTGGGGGGCAAAGATTGATTTCTTTGTGCCCCTGGCACCTAGCACAATCCCTTGCACATAGTAGGCATTTAATGGATGTTTGTTAGACTGAATAGGCTTTGCTGGCAATTAAGAGAAAGGAGGCTAAATAGCTTTTTTTCCTCATTGAGATAGGAATACTCACCAAGCATTTATTAAGTGCCAGACACTCTCCTAAGAGAATGGGACAAGACCTGTGATTTCATTAGTATAGGACCTATACTAATGCACGAATTCCTCGATATGAAAACTCCCTCTACTAAGAGTTCTTATCCTAGAGTCTGTAAACTTGTTATAAAAACACATACATCCAAACATATACATGTTATTGATAACTTAATTTCAATATAATTAGCTTCTTTGTAATCCTATGCATTTTATTTTATTCATTTTAAAACATTCTGAGAAGAGGTCCTTTGGCTTCACCAGACTGTCAAAGTTGTTCATAAGACCAAAAAAAAAAAATTAAGAACACCTCTACGAATTCAGGTCAGCACTTTCTCTGCAATTTATATATGTTAGAAGTGAAGGGAATTTATATGCTACCTACTGTGTGCCAGGCACTGTGCTAAGCACTTTTACAAATATTATCTCATTTAACCCTAACAACAGTCTGTTATTATCCTCATTTTACAGTTGAGGAAACTGAGGCAGGGGTTAATGACTTGCTGAGAACTCTGAAATCAGTATATGTCAGAAGCATGGCTTGAACCAAGGTCTTCTTGGCATTTAGGCCAGAATAACATTCTTTCTTTGTTATAAAAAATACACAGCATCTTGAAAATGTAGATATTCTCCCCCTCTATTTTGTAACAATCTTAGCGAGAGCAAAGTATAGAGCCTCCCACAATGTGCTTAATAAAACTTTCATACATTCAAAGGAGAAAATAGAACGTGGATAATTAAAAGTCAATTGATATCAAACTAAAAAAAAAAACAACTAGCATGTTTAAGGCATTTAAAGGTTTCCAAAGTGTTTTACAAATAATATTTCATTTAATCCTTTCAACAATCTTATAAGATTGGTGCTGTCATTATCCTAATTTTACAAATAAAGAAACTGAGGCTAAGAGGTCAAATGACTTGCCTAGGCCCACCTAGCCAGTGTCTAGGAAAGGATGTGAACCTGGGCATTCTGACTCCAAGTACAACACCCTATCCACTGGCAACCTAGTTGCCCCCTGTAATATTATATCAAAACCAGAGATCAGAAAATAATCATTTATGATGTGATCACCTATTTAATGATATGTATTTATGGATTTATCATTTGACAATTGAGCAATTTAGCATTAAATCATTCATACCTCATGAGAAGGGTATTTTTATTTTGGGGGTTTACACTGAATAGTAGACAGCCACTTGGGTTAATGCCAGACAGCCTCTTATTGAATATTAACTGTAAAATTTAGATAATGTGTTTTTTTTTTCTGACAGAAAGAACTTGCAATACAAAGACTTGTATGATGAGTTAATCACTTTTCAGGCCATTTGTTTCTGAATAAAACTTGACTTACAATAGCTTGGTGACTTGAGAATTGATATATTGATTGTGTATTCTAGAAGCTTGAAATGCATCAATCATCTGTTAAAAGGAAAAATGAATTAATAAGTCAATTCTGATAGCATGTTCATATTTCAAGAGAAATTATAATGAAATGAGTACAGGCAAGCCTTGACTTACCTGAGTCTCAATCATTTTGCTCAGAGCTGTAGTTTCTTCTGAAGTCTCTTTTTCGTAATTGCTGTTGTATGGAATATCTTTAACTTTAAAATTCCCTTGATAGTAGTAGATCTTATTTTCTATGAGAGAAAGAAATGATAATGGGACTGTATAACTGGAAGGAAACCCAAATCCCAATCCCTCCAAGAAAAAAAAAAGATATCTAGGACATATTCAATTTAGTAGATGGCTCTACTATGCTCTAGAACTCTCTTCATCCCAGAAGTTCAGTCAGGACCTGCAACGAACATCTTAGAAGTACTCTTAGCTCCTGTGACCTCTCCCTCTGATTGGGTGGTTCCTCCTAGAATCTCCATTTAAGTAAGGTGCCAGAACAACATGGCCTTCATTCCTCTCCAGGTTGCTCACAAGACTTTCTCTTCCATATCTGCCCCCCAATCTAACATCTCTTTCTCCCTTTTCAACTTCCTTTCATGTATTGTCTTCCTCCATTAGAACATAAATTTCTTGTGGCAACTTCCTTTTTTTTTGTTTATATTTGTATTCTCAGCACTTAGCACAGTGCCTGGAAAATAGTAAGTGATTAAAAAATGCATGTTGAGTGACTGAAAATTAGAGGTAATCAAATAAACACATTTGACTTATCTACTGACAGAAGTCATGACACCAAATGAGCAGTGTAGAAAGTTTTCCTTGGACCCAAAGCAAAATAGAGCAAGGAATTCAGCAAGGATAAATTGGGTAAAGGTCAAAAAAGGTTTGCTGTCCAACACTTCATGACCCCATTTGTGGTTTTTGCTGAACTGGGCTACCATTTCCTTCTCCAGCTCATTTTACAGTTGAAGAACTTTAGGTAAACAGAGTTAAGTGATTTACCCAGAGTCACACAGCTAAGTGTCTAAGGCTGAATTTGAACTCAGGTCTTCCTGATTCTAAGCCCAGCACTCTATCCACTACATCACCTACTTGCCCCTATTAGTAAGTGGTATGTGTTCATTTCTATTGAAATGATAACTCACATTTATATAATATATTAAGACTTTCAAAGTGTTCATGTATATTAGCTCATATAATCCTCACAACAACCCCACAAAGGCTTTATTGTTATCTGTATTTTGCAGAAATGACACATACTTTAATTAAGATTTTCTACTAGAATAAAGCAATAAATATTGAGTACCTACTGTGCAACTAGGATTATTTTCATGACAATAGAAACCATCTTTCCTAGTGTAAAAGGCACCTTCCTTGAATCAAATCCCACCTCATTCATTTCTTTGTGTAACCTTGAACAATTTGCTTAACCTCTGAACCTCAGTTTTTTCATTTATAAATTAAGATTAATAATATCTGTCATAATTATCTTATAAGATTATTGGGAGACTGCAAAGATATGATGAAAGGAAAACACTTTGCAAATTTTAAAGCATTTTATAAATTTCAGTTATTATTATCATCTTAAAACACCAAAGGGATACATAAGAAGTGTTAGACATGGTCTTTGTCCATAAGAAATCTGGTTTGGGAGATGAGGATAACAAAGGTAAAAACAGCTAAAGGACATTTCAGAATTATACAACCAAGGGCAAAATGTGGTTTGGTAATAAAAGAATTTAGAAAAGGAAGAGCTGTCTCAGAAATTATCGTGATAGCAATTTTAATATGGGATTCTGTAATGATGTTAAGAATGCACATTATAATAAGCAATAGGTTATATAAACAGTGACAGAGGATCCACGTGGAATGTTGGGAAGGGGGAGTTTGAAGAGTCAAGTAGTTAGGACAGACTATAAATTAATCAGCAAACATATATAATGGGCTCACTATATATAAAACACTGTATTAGGAACTGGGGATACACAGATAAGGACTGAGAACAAATTAATCATCAACAATCATCTATTAAGCTCCTACTATGTGCCAGGCACTATGCTAGGCACTGGAAACATAAAGAAAGGGGCAAAAATAGCCCCTGATCTCAAAGAGCTCACATGCTAAAGGGGAGACAATATGCAAATCAATCAACGAGTATATATAAAGGGCCTAACATGTGCAAAGCATAAATTTGGGGATAAAACCAAAAATGAAGTCATTCTTCCCCTCAAAGAGGAACATACATTTAGGATCATAGACTTCAAGATGAAAGAGACATTACAGGTAATTTAGTACAATCATTTCATTTTAAAATGAAGAAACTGAGACCCAGAGAAGTTGCACAACTAGTAAGTGGTGGAAGCAGGACCTTGATCTTCTGATTGCAAAGCTAACAAACTAATATGAAGGAAGAACAAAGCTGGTGAGTGAGGCCATAAAGAATTGGATTGACCTATCCCTTCAACAAACAATGACATTGGATTCCATCATGGTTACTGAATTGGAGGGTGGAAGAATAGAATTTTAGTAAGAAGAAGGTGAGTGAAAAGAGACTTTTGGTGAAAAGAATAGAAGGTGAAATGAATTATGAAAGCTCTGCCTGAAATAGTGGGCAGGTGGAGACAATCAACAATGAGAACAGTGGTCTGCAGAATAGAAATCCCAGAGATGAAAGTGCTAATGAGGTGAGAGTTCTGACTCCAGAATTGAAGATCCCCCCAAAAACAACTTGAAATGGCAGTTTCCCAAAATCGCTACCAATAAGAATGACAAAAGCCAGATCTTGTTTCCAGCAGGGAGAATTTTTCAATGACCAATGAAAAGTATGTGATATTTCCATTTCTATCATGACCAAGTGCTTACTGTCTATGCACCCAATGTATACAAGTACCTTCTCCTAGAAGAAAAGAGACTTAGGGAATGCTTCTCCACTATCCAAGTTACCAGGGAAAATCAAGTGTTCTTCTTTAATAATAAATGAAAAATGCCAATGAAAATAAAATAATTGCCATCCATTGAGAAATGGTCTTACAGATTGTGATACATGGATGTAATGAAATATTAAATGTGCATTACAAAAAAGATTGTGAAAAATGCAGAGAAGCATGGAAAGACATATGATACTGATGTAAGCACAACTGGGGAAACAATATACACAATGACTGCACCTGTGTAAATGAAAAGAACAATAACAACAACAAAACCTGAAACTGAATGACATGAAATTATGATGACAAGGTTTCAAAGAAGAGATTAGAAAATTCATCTCCTGTATTTCTTTGCAGAAGTAGAGGGACTATGAGTGCAGAGTATTGCATATGATATAGGGATAAATTAAGAGATTGGTAAGTTTTGCTTAAATGTTTTTCTTTTCTCCCAGAAGTCTCTGCATGGAGAAGAGGGGGAGATTTATAGTGGAAATAAAGGTAATATAAAATCAAAAGATATCAAAATATTTATTTTCAAATTAAAAATTTCACTTGAAAAAGAACTTCAATGTGAAAACAAAGAAGAAAAAAGAATTGAAAGATATGGAGGAGGATTTAGAACTATGTTAGTAGATTGTGGGGAGTGAGGGGGGCAAGACATGGAGGAATATGATACAAAGGAAAAAGGACAGAAGGCCCACTGTCTTTTAAGGAACAGATAAGAGGCTCTTCTCAAAGAGAAAGGAGTTGGACCCTCTAAAAAGAAGCAGCTGTTTGTCTTCTGGAGAATGATGACATGAGGTTCACAGGTGAATGACAAGGGAAAGATTAGCTAGGAAATGTCACAGAAAAATAAGTAGCAATCATTAGTTACTTCCTGCTAGATGATATCAAAATAGCTATTTGCCAACTTGATAACAACAAAAGACAGGTAACTGTCTTCAGAGGGGATGTTTAAGATGTGACAGAGATACTTCTGAGACTTGTCAAAGTGGATGGTTAGTAGCCATTTCTGGTGATTTATATGTGCATAAATGATACTAGGAGGAAAAAAAAATCTAAGAAGGATTGCTAAAAATTATTATGTCCTGGGCAATAAACTGAAGACCTTAGGGGAACAAGTGGTGTTTTCACCACTTCCCCCAAAGTGAAGTCTGGGGCTTTAGGAAAGAAATGCACATTTGGGAAATTGCAGAAATGTGATATGAATAAGTGCAGTCTTACAATTGGGTTCCGAAAATGAGCTTCTCAAGTACAACAGGGCAAAAACGCTGTGGAAGTTTAGTAGACTACCCATTGAATATAAGTCAACAGTGTGAGAATCAATGAACTGTGATCTAGTTCCCATATTATTACAACTCAGTATTAGAATATTAGAGAATCACCCAAAGCGTGGAGATAATTAAATGACTTATCTGTGATCATACAACTAATAAGGATTAGAGACCAAATTTGAGCCCAGGTTTTTCTGATTCCAAGCACAACATGATAGCTAATACATAAGGCTGTCTTTGAGTAACGTGATACATTAGACAAAGTAACTACTTTCATGATCTTGGGCTGCATTAGATGAGGTATACACATCAGGACTAGGGAAGTCATAGTTCTACTGCAGTCTTCTCTAGACAGATTGTAGTATTGTGTTCAGTTCTTGGCATCACATTTTAGGGAGAATATTGTAAAGCTGAAAAGTGTCCAGAGCAGGATAATTAAGATGGTAAATGACCTTGAGATCATACTGCATGAAAAGAGGTTGACAGAACTGGAGGATATTTGGAATGAGAAATAGAAGACCTTGGGGGGAGAGATAGAGACATCCTATTAAGGGACTGTCATATGGATGGTAGTTTAGACTTGCTCTATGTGGCCTCCAGGGGCAAAACTAGGAGCAATAAGTAGAAGTAGTAAGGAGACAGATTTAGACTTGAGGTAAGGAAGATTTTTCTAACAATTACAGGTATCCAAAAGTAGAATGGGCTGTCTCAAGAGGCAGGGAGTTCTTCATTGGAGGCCTTTGGGCAAAAGGTGAATGGTTATTTGTTGGGTGTGTTGAAGAGAGGGTTTTTGTTAGGAATGGGATGAATTCAATGATCTCTGAGGTCCCTTAACAATGTTGAGATATTATGAATGTGAATAATAATGGTTGCCACTTGTACAGCACCTTAACATTTATAAAATGCTTTATATACATTATCTTATGGTGTCCCCTTAAAAATTCTGTGAGTAAGTCAATGACTTTCTCTTGGTCAGAAGCTTACTCAGTGAAAGAAGCATTATTTGCATCCAGACCTCTTCTGACTACAATCCTTTAGAGCTTC